CAGCGTCTTTTGTATGTGATTCCTCTGCGTGGGCATCATCCCAAGTTCCACGTGATGATGAGGTGGAGCCAATAGCTCCAGACCTGCATCTCTCCAGGCCCAAATTCTGGAGAAAGACTATTTGTCTCTCTCTTCTTTTTTAAATATATATTTTATTGATTTCAGGGAGGAAGGGAGAGAGAGAGAGAGATATCAATGACAGGAGAGGATCATTGATGGGCTGCCTGCTGCACGCCCCCGATGGGGATGGAGCCCACACCCCGGGCAGATGCCCTGACCTGGAATCGAACCTCAATCTCCTGGTTCGATTGGATGCTCAACCACTGAGCCATGCCAGCTGGGCTCACTCTCTACTCTTTTAGAAAATGTCTCATCAACTCTCATTGACCCCAGTTGGGTCAATGCTGAAATATCACTTGGCCAGAAAAATGCAGTGCCCTAATTGGCCAGGCCTGATCACATGCTCCATCCTGGAGCTAGGAGTGAAGTCAATGAAGTATGAGAAAGGAGGGGGTTCCCAGGAAAATCAAGTAGCTCTTAGAAGGGAAATGGTGACCAGATACAGGGCTGCAAGGCTAATGGTGTCTACCCTAGACTTTAGGAGGTGTCACATTGAAGAACAACTGCAGACAAGGAAAAGGAAGAACTCTAACCTGAGTTTCTGACTGGGCGGGGCTTGTTCCATCGATGAAAAGGGTCAGGAGAAGAAGACATCTGGACTCAGGGAGGTCGTCAGGGCAGAGCTAAAGACTCCATGGCCACAGCTGCCTTCTGGGAGGCCTAGAGCTCAGGTGTCATTTCAAAGCCACACCCACCTGTTCCACCTGGCAAACTGCTGGGGCTTCCATCCACAGACTCCGACAGGGTTCTACTTCAGAGGAAGCAGTGCCGGTGTCCTCAAGGCACGCATGTCCCTACATCAGCCTGCCTAGGAGTTGGGACTGGGCCAGTTGGTACCATGAATATGGAGGGAGGGGCAGAGAGGGACAGATTAGAGAGGAAAACCTCAAACCTCATTTTCAGGTTTAACCTTTAATCCCCTTGTCAGGGTTTCCCTGGACCCCGAGGAGAGAAAGGCGACCGGAGCGAACGTGGAGAGAAGGTGGGGTAGGCGGGGAGAAAATAGGGGCAGCTGGAGAGGAGATGGGGCAAGGGGACAGAAGGAGGGAGGCAGGTGAAGAGGAGGGAAGAGGCGGATAGGACTTGGGAGGCAAGAAGCAGGCAGAGAGAGGTGGGTGAGCAGGTGGAGGCTGGGATGGGGGCAGCAGGGCAGGGTGGCTGCCAGCCCCAGGCCCATCTCTCAGAGGTGCTGGAGGCATCCTGGGCATGGCAGCCATGGCCATACCCCCGTCTCCCTTCTTGTGCAGGGGGAGCGAGGCATCCCCGGCCGGAAAGGAGTGAAGGGCCAGAAGGGCGAGCCGGGACCGCCAGGACTGGACCAGCCATGCCCTGTGGTACGTGTCAGAGCAGGAGGGGAGCCCCAACCAAGGTCTTTGCTGCCTCCTGCAGCATCTTCATGTCATCTTTGCCTCCACTGCCAGGGCCACCATCACTGTCACTCCCATCACAGAGGGCCCTCTTGCTCTAGTCCTGACCCTACCATGGGTGCAACTTGAGACCCATCCCCTCTATAGAAAGGGAGACCCCGCGGGGCAGAGTCTGTTTCCAGCGTCACTGCCCCTCTTTACTCCACTTCCTTGTCCATAGAGAAGGGTGGGACCGCCCTTACCTCTCTGGGTATCTGTCCCACCCGGGAGAAGGCTTTTCTGCCTGGGTGGCCCCATGCTGTCCCTCTGCTCCTCCCCTCCCTTCCCTGCTCCCACAGCCTCCTCCTTTCCTGCTGTGTCACCACAGCCCCTGATGGCCCATCCGACCCAGGGCCTAAAATAACCAAAATTCAGTTTCCTTTTTCTAGAAGTCAGCAGAGGTTACATGTCAGACTATTTCAGTGGAGCTCAGAAAAGACAGGGAAAATGAAACAGCTGAGTTTCCATCCTAAACCTGACCGGATATTCATACCTGCCCCCCCCTTGCCAGGGGCATGGGGAGAGGCCACCTACAAAAGGAAGGTCAGGGCCGGGGACCCCCAGAGGCCCAGTCCTCTGACCTTGAGTGAGTCACTTCGCCCCCTGTTCCTCAGTCTCCTCATCCGTACAGGGGGGTGCTGTCCCACCCTCAGACTATCCCACCCTCAGATGGCTTTGAAGAGGCAATGAGAAAAAGACATGAAGATCTGAGCAGTGAGCACATGCAAAAAGTACCAAGGGCGGCAGGGAACAGGGTGGCCCTGCAGATCTAGATCCTGGGCCAAGACTTCCTTCCAAGTCATGAAGTCTTTGTCTTTGAAACAGGAAAATCCTAAATGCGGAGGCAAGCGAGGGGCACCGGGCTCGAAGGGCCTGGCGAGGGGCAGCGGGCCCTGCCCTGCGGTACATGGTCTGGCCTGCTGTGTGCTGTGCTGTGCTGGCATCTGCCCCCCTTCCCCATCCTGCCTGCTTCCTCCCCACCACCCTCAGGCCCCAGCCTGCGCCCCTGCTGGATGCACGTCAGTGTGCCTTGGACAGAGTGAAGTGTCTTTGCCCAAGGGTCCCCCAGGGACTAGAGGATCAGCCTTGTCCCTCTCCAGTCCCCCATCTTCCAGGCCGCTTAAGGACCATCTCCCACGACCCCCCACTTGTGTCTGATTGCTGAGCAGTAATGGCTGATGCTTCCAGACAACCCCCTGCCCAGGTTTCCCCCTGCTGGCCTCCTCCTGACCCCGTGGCTCAGATCCAGACACAGAGACCAGGATGGGCCACACAGAGGGGGATCCCACTTCCTGAACTGTCCATATCCTCTTCAACTCCTGAAAACTCTCAGGCCCTCAGGGTGAGGGTCTAAAGCCACTGTCATGGCCACCAGGTCATGGCCATTAGGTCGCCCCCCGCCCCAATCAGCAGATGTACAGCATGAGCCCAGAACTCCAGGGTCCTCCCGGTTCTGCCCCCAGCACAGGTGTCCCAACAAAGCCCCAGGGGATGCACTCAGGACAAGTGCAGTGAGGAGTGGTCTGTCCCGTGCCTGGGTCGCCTGGATGGACCGGGCAGGCATTCGGGTCCTGTTTCAATGGGCTCCAGCAACCTCACTGGCAGCTCCCTGGGCTGTCATCCCTTCACCCAGGGCAAGAGTGTGCCAGGGTGGAGAGCTGACCAGCCCTTGCCCCCATCACTGAAACCTTCTTCCTTTCCAGGGCACTGACGGGCTGCCCGTGCCTGGCTGCTGGCATAAGGTACCTTGTAGGGAAATCTCCGGGACAAGCAGGGAGGAGTTGGGAGACAAGAGGGGCCTGGAGGTGGGCCTCTGTGGCTCCCAACACTGACTGAATAGCCAGGTTTCCCTGTCACAGCCTAGTTTTGACTCTCCCGTCGTCGTGTGACCTGAGGCTTGGGGCCATAATCCTGGGTGATTATGCACAGCCCACCCTTGGCTGCATGGGGCTCACTCAGCATCTGGCCCAGCCAGTGCAAAGCCATCAGCGCCCCGTGGGACTTGGTCCAGACTGCCCCCCTGAGAGGGGTAGAAGCCAGGAGCCCGGGACCAGGGGAGGGGGCCTGCCTGTTCCTGGGGAAATGGGCAGGATGGATGAGGTCCAGACCAGGGAGGGCCCCAGGGGCCTCATGGCCCCTCCTCACCTCAGTCTTTCTCTCCTTTTCCAGTGATCAGAACCCAGCTCACTGCCTGTACAGATCCATGTGGACATTTTTAATTTTTGTAAAAACAAAACAGTAATATATTGATTTTTTTTCCATGGGATGCACTGCCTGTGGCCTTTAACCTTTGAGCATGTGCCCGGCCCAGCCCCAGAACAATCAGCATGTGAAGCTGGCAGGAACGTGGACAGGCCAATCAGGGAATTGTGTACTTGAGGGGCAACCGTAGGATTTGGTGCCTGGCTCAGACGAAGTTGCAAAGATGCCGGGTTGGGCCTTCAGTCACCTGATTAGCAGAGCGTCTGGCTGCCCAGCTGCCCTACAAGAGCCTGCCCCCTGAAGCTCCAGAGCCCCCGGCGGGGGAGGGGGGGGCACCTGGGGCATGGACGGCCCTGCAGCTGCTCCAGCCTCTTCAGCCAGAGCCAGCTGCTCACCCTCCCGGACCCTGGGTTCACCAGGAAGGACAGGCCTCCCACCCAGCACTTGCAGCTGGGTACTGGGAGCTGTAGAAAGCACCCCAGGCAGGTCTAGCTCTCACCAAGTTCATTAGGCCTCGGGAAGCCAGCCTGTTTGAGAACACATGTCCTCTGGCGAGGAGTATAGGCCAAGCACTGTGATCACCACCACATGGACCCAACTGCAGGGAGCCCCATGGTGACCAAGTGTGGAGGATGGCAAGGCCCATGCTGGAGTGACTGCTGCTTCCTGTCTGTCCCCCCCACCCCAGAGCAGGGGTGTGATGAGACTTTGCCAGCCGGAGGAGATGGGCCTCTAGCTCAGAGCTTGGGTCTCACTGGCCCCAGTCTCCCACCCAGGAGCACTCTGGTCCGCTAGCCGAAAGTGGTCTTCCGGGTGAACTGTACAGATGAAGAGAATCCCGGTGTGGTTCCCAGCTGGCCCGAGCAGGGGGCCTGCGACCTGAGCATCGCGCTCGAAGGAAAGGCTTCCCCACCTGTGACAAAGGTCCCAGCCACCAGCTCTGGCCCAGCGACTTGCCTCCCCTCTCTGTGTAGATAGGTATTGCTGTGTGTAATAAACCATGAATTTGTGTCTGGTTGAGCCTGTCCTTGCAGACTGCCCCTGGGGCACCTCTGGCTAAGGTTTCAGCCTGGCCATTGCAAAGTGGGGAGGGACAGAAGCCAGAGAAACCCACCCCAGAAACCAGAGGAAGTAGCTCAGGGTCGTGGGGTTAAGTTTGGAAGACACAGACACAAGGCCTAGTCCGGCCACGTACCAGCCGAGCCTTCTGGACAGTCACATCCCTGAGCCAGTGACCAGTGACTGCTACATAGAAAGTCACCCCAAAACTTGTTGCCTTAAAACAATGATCCTTTATATTCCTCTCTCTCAGTTCTGGGGTTAATGGGCTCAGCGGGCTGGTTGTGGCTCAAGCTCTCCCACACCTGGTGGTTGATGCTGGCTGTCAGCTGGGAGGTCAGATGGCAGAACACCTATCCCTCGTGGTCTGGCTCCTCATGCTGAATTCCAGGAGCGAGTGTTCCATGGTGAACCAGGTGGAAGCTGTGTCACCTTTTATGGCCAAGCCTCAGAAGTCATCTGGTGTCACTTCCTGCCACAATCAGTGGTAACGTTTTCCAGGGGAAAAGTGTCCACATCCTATTTTAAGGAGGAAATGTGAGGTAGCTCTTGTTGCAGCCCTCTTAGGAAATCCAACCTGCCACCTCATCTATAAGAAGGGACAGGGATGCCTACACTCTGACGGTAGTTAATGAGGACCAACTGCATGGGATACAAGAACCCAGGGCAGGGCAGGCACCTGGCAGCTCCCATGAGTCTGAGTTCTCTCTCTCTCTTCCCCACTCCAAGACCAAGCAAGGGCCATAGTCTTGCAAAGCATTTCTACATCGTTTATTCCAGCTGGTCCTTATAACAACCCTGAGAGAGGGACCCAGCAAATATGCCCATTTCACAGATGACAAAACCAAGCACATCCGGGGTGGTATACTAGTAGACGGGGCCTGCATGACAGCATCTTAGGCCTTCTCCAAGGACTGGGGCCTAAGGAGGGCCATGGTTTGAGTAGTCCCCCTGGTCCCTACTATGTGGCCTCCTCACTGAGCAGAAGAGGCCCAGCCCTACACCAGCTAAGGAGGAGGAATGTGTCAAGTCCTCACCTCTGTCTCCCTCAATTGCTGGCGATAAGTGGCAGGCCCACTGCTCAGCCAGTCGTCTTGGTCACCGGGGAAGCCAGTAGTGTGAAAAGGAAGAGAAACACCGCGGGGCTGTGATGACTGATGGACATCACAAGCTGTCCAAGTGTCCTTGGGCATTCCAGCATAACCTCACAAATCTACTGCACTCTAGAGTTTGTAAATTCACTCCTCCCTCCCCTCAGGTACCTCATGGATCCCCCCACCTATGAAGGAGGGAGCCTATGTGATTCATGTCACTATTTCCATGTTACATGTGGGGAAACAGGCTCTGAGGGAGTAGCCCTCTGCCTAGGGATAAACAACCAGGATTGTCTTTCTGAAATTGCTTGTCAGGGCCCAGAGTCTGCTAGGCAGCACCATGCTGCTGGGGGATTGGTGGGCAGACCCTCTTAGAAGCCACATGTGGCCCCTTCCTCAGACACCAGAGGAGGTCCCTTTCCTGCTCCTTTGGGTAGGGCAAGGTCATTATGGCCCATTGCTGCCCCCTTGTGGCCTCACACAGTGTATCCTCAGGTCTGCAAACTTCAACTGCAAACTTCTCATTTTAGAGGGTACAGATTGCTCCAAGAGCTTGGAGTGGGGACGAGAGGCTGGAGAAGAGTAAATGACTTGCTCAAGGTCCCAGATGAGACACGGGTGAGCGCCCTGCCTCACAGCAGAGCTTCCAGGACCAAGGGTTTCACATCTCCCTGACAAGAACTACCCGCTTCCAGAAGAAAGGGAAGCACATTTATTGAGCCCCACTGTGTGCCATGGCAGCTAAACTAACCACAAAAATTCCTACCCCGTGAGAGGAGTAGGGTCTCCCTCCTCCTGATCCCTAGGATACTACATGGGATAGTTTTGGGTGTCACAATGACTGGGAGATACTCCTCGGATTCAGTGGGCAGGGCTAGGGATATCAAACATCTGAAAGGCATGGACAGTCCCGTCCCATGATGAATCATCTCAATGAGAATGCCAGTGCTGCCTGCATTGAGAAACACCATGCCCTTGGTTCAAATTTTGACTCAGCCACTTCCTCCCATTCCCTGCCCTCTTGGCCTCCAATGGCCCCCAGAAGGCTGGGCATGAGATAATGGATAGAGGAGTGCTTAGCCTGGGGCCAGAGGCAGAAATGAGTGGACTTTTCTGAGCCGGAAGGAGAGGCTTCCTGGTGTTGACCTGCCCCTTGGCCCAGGAAATGGCCCAGTTGGGAGGCCTGGCTTGACCTCCAACTGATTTGCCACTTGACCCTGAACATCTGGAGAGTGAGTGAGATGAGGGCTGGGACTGGCTGCAGTATTCTCACCCTCAGCCCTGAGACTAAAAAAGCCCTGAGCCAACCTACTTCCTCTGAGCTGCCCTGGGCATAAGACAGGTTCGTATTTGGGCTCAAGACAAGGCCAAAGATGAGCCCCAAAGGGTTGCCTGTGGCCTGTACTTCTTTTCTGAGGGTCAAATCCCCCTCCCCTATATGTGGGAAGAATTTTTGGTTAATTTGGGAGGAATTTTGTTTTCAATTATACATGAGGTTCAATTCAGCTTTACAATTAAAAGTAAGAAACTCTATCCAGTTTAGAAGATGAAAAGTTCTGGAGGTGGATGGTGGTGTGGTTGCACAAAGTAAACGTACTGAATGCCACTTAATTATACACTTAAAAACGGTTAACATGGTAAATTTTATGTTATGTATATATTTCCTCAATAAAAAGGAAAAAGAAACTCCAAATGTTCTTTAATAAATGCTCTAATAAACATTTTACATTTTTATGGGGGAAGAGATACAGGAATCAGCGTTGAGGGAGCAAAGCAGAGGGCTGTGATCCCTTGTTCCAGGGTTCATCCAGGCAGAGTCCCAGTGGCCCACGCCAGGAGGGGACGTCTCTCTGCTAAGCCAGCTTTCCACCCCTTGCCCCCAGGGCTGCCAGCTTTCCACCCCTCACCCCCAGGGCTGCCAGCTTTCCACCCCTCACCCCCAGGGCTGCCAGCTTTCCACCCCTCACCCCCAGGGCTGCCAGCTTTCCACCCCTCACCCCCAGGGCTGGGAGTCCGGCCGGCCTGCGCTGGAGTCCAGCCTGCGCTGCACACTTGCTGTGTCTGAGAGCAAAGTCCTTTCCCGTCCCGGGCCTCGGTTTCCTGGCCACGTGCTCACTATGAGGCTCAGGAGTCCTCCCGACGCCCCTCCTGCCTAAGCACTTGATGACTCCATTAGCACGGACACGCTCGCGGTCACCGGCCTGGAGTCCCAGCAAACACGGCGCGTCCCACTTTATGCACCGGGAAGGCGACTCAGTGACTGAGTTCGGGGCCCCGGTCCCGCTAGGGAGCTGCGGCGAACGCACCCGGGGACCGCTCCCGCGCGGCGGTTTCCACGGGATGACTTGGCTGTAGGAAGCCTGCCAGGCTCGTTCCCCGAAAGAATTTACCAACCTGAAACGGGCCTCGGGAGGGGGCGGCGCCGCAGCGGGGAGGGGCGGGGCCAAGGTGCGGGGTCACGGCGGGGAGGGGAGGGGCCGTGGGGCGCGGCCACGGCGGGGAGGGAGCGGGGGCCAGGGGGCGGGGTCACGGAGGGGAGGGAGGGGAGG